AGTCTAGGGTGTAGCCGGGACGCGCAGCACTGAAAACCAAAGCGAAAATAGCACTACCTTGCGCCGGGATGTGCCGTGGCGGCACACCTCATGTCAACAGACTGTCCTTGCACGCTGTGACGACACTGAACAACCACCTGCATATCTCCTGTAAGCATTTGAGACGTACTGATAATGCCTTCAATTCCCGCGGCAGAGTGTCGGCTGTCGAGGCCAGCACGCAATTTCTAGGCATCGAGTGAACAGTCCCCTCTAGGCAAAGACGGGGTGGGAGCGTTTTAGGCACGAGGCCTTCGGGAGACGATTGCAGAAGGGGGCATGGGTTGCTGCAGGTACTAAGGATCTTGCCATAGCGGGCGCTGGGATGAGGCTTGAATTTTAGTTCGGGTGGGCTTTGCAGCAACCTTCCTCTCCCGTTCGAGCTATCCGACGGGACGAATACCGTCCATGAAGCCCCAATGCCTTTCCCTACCGCTTTAACAGGGAGGGGGGCGCCTACAGCTAACGCAGTTGGCCCGGACCCGACGGAAGGAAGGACGGAAGGAAGGAAGGAAGGAAGGAAGGAAGGAAGAGAGATAAGGGGCTCCACTCACTCGTGCAGAGCCAACCCAGTGACAGTGAGGAGCCGGTGTTTATGTGTTTGTGAGAGCATGCTGTATGTACGCCGTTGCTTGCCTCAATCCTCACATGCATGGGGGCTCTACTGATGGTTGGAAACACTGCGAGCCACAAACAGTAGCCAAAGAAACGCGAGGCCGGGATGCGGGAGGTTCCTTAGTGTTCCGGGTGGGGCTCGCAGTGGAACAACCTTGGACAAATTCTGTCCCCTTTGGCAGTGGTCATTAAAAACCCCAATGCCGGCCACTCCATAAAACAGCGGGTGGTCGGGCGGGCCGAAGGCCTGAGGGTCGCTGGACGACCCCTAATGAAAGAGATAAGGGTGCAGATGAGAGAGGCCCTGGCCCAGAAGAAGAACATAATAAAGATTACGTGTTGAAGCCCGCCGGCACTGTGGCCGAATGGTTTGGCCCGCCTTTTAGGCTTCGGGAGGAGAGCCAGGCATCAGTGGGGAGGCGGAGCTGGGTTGAGAGAACCAGGTAACGGTTCCGCGACTGCCGTTTCTTTCGTAGTTTCTCATAGGGCACTCTCAGGCTCACCGAGCTGAGGGTTTCCCACTTGTGGCACTGCTGTGGCGGTATGACTGTTTGTGGGAGATCCTGTGAATTTCCCGAGAGACTTGGGGAACCTGCAGGAGCAGTCGTGAACACATAAAGATGAGGTGAGGTGTTGTGGTTGTACTGCGGCACTGGCTCCTGACGGGAGGAAGTTGTATTCATGCCCTGCCTTCTGCAATGTGTGAGACCAATTGTTGACCATGCATGCGAGAGCACAGAAGTTTGTGTCATTGCATTTCTGAGTAGAGCACTCCGAGATTGCCATGAGCTTTAGCTTTGCAACCTGCAGCTGCCTCTGCTCAGTCCAAGTACGAGTTGGCAGTGGGCCGCACGATCCAGGGACCCTTCGATCCGATATTCGGAGGCCATGCGCAGCTGCAGTAAGCCAGTCTAGTGCAAGATGCTTGCATTGCATGTGCGCTCCGAATTCTTCGGCTTTGCAGCCCACCCTTGTATCGGCATGCAACACCAGTCCTCAGGCACAGATGACTTTTGCAGTTTGTCTGCAAACGTCAGTGAGGACTTCATGCGATTATGCGAATGATGCGGTCTTGCGTCTTGCGAGTGCCGCCTTTCCGAGAGGACGAGATGGGACAGTCCGCCATCTGCATCGGAGTCCGATTTTTGGTTCAGAGCTGAGCAGTGCCAAACTGCGAAAGCATGGCCCTTGTCAAGCTGAGGCCAAAGTTGCCGACTGAGGAGCCCGCGAAACTTGGTTTCATCGCAATCAACTGAACGTGCGACCTCCCGATCCCGCCTTCGCTGGGGAGTGCGAGACTTCAGTTGACCCTGTTGTACTTCATTAAGTGACGGAGAGCAGGGCGAACTGCAAGCTGTGTGCGATGCAGAAAAGGGGCGCGTCTGTGAGAACCTCTAACCTGCGAGATTGGCGGTACAGCAGTCCTGCGATAGCCGTCGGGCCGTCGACCTGCGGAGGCGATCTTCACTCGCCCCGGGGCGCCTCTGGGACCTGGCCTTGCACTCGAGGCACCAGCACCGCTTTTCGCAAGTGAGTCGCCTTCTCGCCCTGGCACCCGGCTCCCGCAGAGGTTGACGCCAGCACCTCCGCAGCAGAGAAGGACGACTTCTGCAACAGGCCATTCCAGTGCACGTCGGGCCTGCCTCACGCAGATCATTTGAGGCTTCGATTCCTGGAAGTCTTCATTCTGGTTGCGATTCGAGCTTCTCTGGCGGACTTGATTCCCGTACGCATTGAGCAAGGGCAGTTTTGATCGCTGCGACAGGTGAATCAAAGTCCTGTTTTGACTTCCAGAGTACAAGATGCCAAGAGGGACTTGTCCCGGGGGCTGGCTTTCTCGAAACGAGGCATCGGAGTCAGAGCCTCGTTTGCATCCTTTCGTAACAGCTGGAAAGGCAGTGGGAGTGGCAATGGTCTGACGGGAAGCTCGGGCGAGTTGGAGTGGATAGCTCAGCTCCCACGGGACTTGAGTGAGTCTTTCACGTGTCTGGCGAGCTTCAGGGGGGGGCCCAAGGTGCTGCACTCGGCATGATAGCAGCAGATGGATGGATCGAGTCTGCCTTTTTTGACCCTTGTCCGACCTCGCGCTTTTGAGGTCTCTATCCTTGCTGGAGTCCCACGCATGAACATGTGCCGTGCTTACGCTTCTGTGCGCCGGAATGGCTTGTCACTGTCCTCATCCGTCTGCATCCTTGCTGCTGCCTGCTGCTGCTCCTGCTCCTGCTCCTACCTGCTGCTGTCGCCCATGTCTCATCATCGTCGACTCTCCAGAACTCCAGGGATTCCAGGCTTTCCAATTTGTTCTTTTGTGCATACACCCTTCTTGTGGCCAGGTTTTACCTTCTCAGGTCTACTTCTCTTCTCTGCGCTAGCCGGGTTCAGAGTTTGTTTGGTTTGCTGCGTCTCGCTAAAGAGGATGGACCGACGGGAAGTCGACAAGCTCATTCTTCTCGTGAGGCTACCTGTTGGTTTGTCTTCTCTTGTTCCTTTCTCGCTTCTCATCAGGAGCAACCGAGCCCGTACAGCACACTATGGCGCAAGCACAAATTTGTTGTGGCACGATGTTCAACAGTTTCGTTTAAAGCTTCCCGCTGCTGGACACTCGTCGCGAGTACGTCACCTTCGGCAACCACCCCGCAAAGGCTTTCAGAGCTGCTTCGAAGCATGGCGCATTGCTGCTTGAAGGTTGCTGGTCACCTTGGTGTCCGAGTCAGAACTTTGCACCTAAGTTTGGAGGTCGCGAGATCATTGTTTTGAAGCAGTCGGTCCAGCCTCAGTTTCAGCCCCTGGACATATATCAGGCGTCTTTTGGCCTAAAAGCTCAGAAGGTTTCCAACCTTTCCCTGAACCCTAGGCCCTAAACTAAACCATGAAGCCTAAAAGTATACCTAAGCTGCCGCTCGCGACAGTCGGGTCACACAATTCAACAGAAAGCCTCAAGGCCTGCAGCTGAAGCCGGGTGACTGTCAAATGTGCAAGGGCAGAGCATGCCAGCTTGGAGGCGGTGGCGGGGATTAGACTTTAAATCTTGAGCGGAACACCAATGTTAAGGTTCCGACAACAGAGCATCGAACGAGAGAGATTCGTCAGCCAAAAACGACTTGTGGCCAAAAGCCATCCACATTTTAGAGATACCTGTCCCGGAACATGAGCAGCATGGAAGCAGACATGTTGCGTTCTCCCAGAGTTGCGGTAGGCTGCACGGAAGCGCTAGGGTCGTTGACGCAGGAGAGTGTGCAGTAGTACCCTTGTGGACACCGAGGATTCGCATGCGAGGAGTCGCGGGTATTTGGATATCGTGCACTGAAACGCAAGCCATGCTGACAGTGGTGGGTTGTTTACTATGGTCATGGTCTTGCGAGCACCCCCCAAGAGGAGCACAGGCCAAGGCACCGAAGGTTCGGATGCGACAATTCAAAACAGGCAGTAGGCGCAGGAAAGTGTACAGGCTAGGTGCAAGCAGTGCTCACCATACACCGAGCCTGCCCCATCAACTTTTGTGGAGTTTGCGGCAGTCAACGCCGCACTAAATAAAATCTACATGGAGAGGGGAGTGTCAGGAAGTCAAGTGAATCCAGTGTAAAGCTCGAGTGACAAGACAAGTGCAAAGCAGCTGTTTAATCTACCCGGCCGTTCCTTTGCATTCTGCGTGCCAAGGACCGACGCGCGTGACAAGTGGGAGCTCTTTGCTTAGCAACGGAGTGTCGTGGACGGGTGTTAGCGAATCGTGATCTGGAGGTCAACGGTGCGACGGCTTAGTGCAGTGCTGATTGGAGCTGGGCGGGTGCCTCAGGTATATGGTCCCTCGTGTTGTGCTGTGATGCTCCGCACGGTGCACATCGCGGATCGCCTTCTGAGGCAAGGGTCCTCTGTGGAGGATCGGAGGAAGGAGCCGGAACCTCCGCTGCCCGGCTGCAATTCTGAGGAGGGACCTCATGTGTTGTTGTGATACCTCATCATTGTCACAAGCAGGTCTCCCCTTGCGAATCTCGAGAAGCTCTTTGCACAACATCTTCCCTAGTTTTTTGTGCGAGGCATCCCTACGATGGAAGCCCGGTCCGATCGGATGTTGCTTTGTATATAGTTCGCTATGTAAATACTTCGTCTTGGTCGATCCTGGTTGCAAGATGCCATGGAACATGGAGTGTGCAATCAGGGTGAAGTCGTGAGGCAGCTTCGACTTGTTGGGGTCAGGAGCTGCAAACACCGCCCCGATCATCGCAAAAGCGACGTTGAATCCGGCTTTGGCAGTGATGAAAACTGCGCTTTGCTTCTGTGGATTTCCCAAAAGCGGGCAACAGGTCAGCATGGAGCCGTGATGAGCCTTCGCTTCCAAACTTGCAGAGGAACGTGGTGCATGTCATCGGCCTCACCACCAACGTGGTCGTATCCTCTGTTTCTTGAGCTGAAGGTCCTGACAACGACCCTGACCTCACGTCAGGCGAAGGCAGAAGTTCTGAAGTGTCCCGAGTACTTTGGCCAGTGCGCCGCACTGTCTCATGGCAGTACATGGCAGTACCTCGCATCCTTGCTGCATGGAAGGTACGGGAAACTGCTGCGGGTGACGGTCAGCAAGCTTCCCGTCCAGGTCTACGGCTCAAGCTTCCGAGATTCCAGTATTGCTCAGACAATCCCAGACAGACTTCATTTGCCAGTCAAAGCCTCACAATGGCGAGAAGAGCATCCCGGTCTACAGCGCGTGCCCATGCTGCGATGTTGTAACATGAAGGAGCTATTTGCTCATCATTCGTATGTTTTGATGTCTTGTCGGGGGGGGTGTTGTCAGCCGGGGGGAGTTGCACCAGTCAGAGCTAGGGGGTCTCGACTCGGCCCTCTGAATCAGATCGCTGGACAGGCTCGCACAGAGGGCCGAAGCAGATCAAGGGGGGAGCCAACAGGATCATCGACTCGTTCGTTCAATTATGCAGGGTAATTCTCCTGCGTCCTCCCGCCTCGGCGTCCCGCCTCCCACGTCCAGCCTCCCGTCCCTAGGCCCGTGGCCCAAGGTCGCGCGATAAACGGCCCGGCGGTGCACGGCCGCGGCGCGCGGTGCCGCGGCAACAAACCAACAACACCACCAGCAACAACAACATTTCATTCACACGCAGCGGGAGACGATATCCTTGGGTGAAAAGCTTCCTCGCTTTGCGAGTGTTCGACCTCTTTTGCTCTACTTGCTGATGTAAGTATTAGCCAGTCTCAGTTGCGCTGCTGGCCGTGCCTCAGCCCTGCGCCAGCAGGCGTCCCGCCTCTGAAGGCAGCAGACTGCGTTTCTGAGAGGCTTGAAGGCGCGTGACATGGATGGCAGACGATGTGGTCATCTGTGCTGCTGCTGACAGTTCTTTTTCGGGAGTCAGCCATAGCTTCTCAGGCCTCCTTGTGTCAAGGCTACTCTGCTCGAGGAGCGTCCCCTCTCATCACGATCTCTACATTCAAAAAAAGCCTGCTTGGCAACTGCACCCTTAGGGTGGGCAACTCCGATGCATGAGGGTTTGATTCTAACGCGGTCCCTGCTGAGTTCGACGTGGGATCTGCCGCCGATGACGGTGCTGAGGTGATAACTTCCAGTGTTCCCGTGCCGCCGTGTGTGAGCATAGTTGGCGCTGCCTTCGCTGGAGCTGGTCTTTTTGGGGGAGGAACTCCACCCATCCGCTCAGCTGTTACAGAAGGAGGTAGATTGACCGGCGTCGGGGGCGGAGGGCCTGCTGGTGGTTCCGAGGAAGACTTAGGAGTTCCCATCACGAGATTGCGCCCTGTAGGCGGCGCCTTCGCTCCGGGGATCTCGTCATCAGAGTCTTCGATTTCGTCACTGGACAGGTTAGCACGTCTTAATCTTCCCATTCTTCTCACTGGCGGCGGGGTTCTGGACGTGTCGCGATCTGATGTTCTCTTCGGTGTTTCCGCCATGACTATTGGACTGATCTCTTACTTGAACCTAAAGAAGTCCACACGGCCCTGATGCCTTGCAGTTAGCTGGCACGAAACTATCCCTATTGGTGCAGACTTTTTCCGCTGCTTTTGACAAGTTAATTAGCCTTTGGGGAGGATCTCCTCCTTCTGAACAGACTACGAGGGAGATTCTCCACTCGAAAGAAAGATTCAAGTTTGGTGGGACTACCGAACGTCTTCAGCCGTGAGAATAACGCCATTCCTGCTTCGCAGGAAGCGGACTCCCATAGACATTGCCGTTCTTGTGTTGACGGCTACCGCCATCGTCGCACTGGCCCTCATGCCGGAAACTACCTCCTCTTGACTACTTCCTGAGGTCGTGAAGTGGACGTGTTTTCGCCCTTCGCCGCCTTTGCCGCCGCCCTTTCCTTTGAGTCGGCACTGCGGCAGTAACCCGGTCGAGCGTATCGATTCATAGAGCCTCCATTGAGTTCCATGGATAATTTCCTCGGGGAGTTGCTCCTCCGTCAATACTTCCAGGACGGCGTCGTCATCGACATCTGTTCTGGAGTGCCCCTGGACCGCTCT